CGATATATCGGGTATGATAGCTAGCGACTAGATATCATATCCGATATAGCTAGCTAACTCAATAAAAGTGGTACGGATAGCTAGCTACCAGAAGTCTATATTGCCCGATAGCATAATTTTATAGCTAGATATTCTCAAAGGCATTTTTTTGCTTGGGTATGATGGTAGATGATACCATGATAGATGTATCAATTGAAGATGAAGAAACATTCTCACGTAACGTGAGAATGTTCATGTTCTCACAAATTCAACGTGAGTCACGTTGAATTTGTGTGACATAAAGGGCATTCACATATACTGTTACTCTACATTTTTCTTTCGTTTATTTTCTTGTACAGCGAGAGAGAATTTTTTAGACACTCGTCAGTACAGCTAGTGTAGTAAGTATTTTGTTTTCTCCATCTTGCATTGTTTAAAACAAAATTTCTTTCTCTCTCGCTGTACAAGAAAAGAAAAGAAAGAGAAAGAACAAGAATTATGTACTTGTTGAATCTATTAAAGACATGTAGCCGTTTGGTATGTTAAAGCAGAAATCATTTTTGTCAATCTATTAGTACAATTCTTATTGAATTTTTACAAATTTTAGTAGCTCATATAAAATAATTCCTACCAATTCTTGTTAGAAAATGTTAAGTAACAGTGTAAGTGCATGTCTTTTATGTCATACGGAAGTTCTAACTAAAAATTTCAAACGACATTACGAAATACAACATTCTCTTATTCAATTTGACCTCAAGAAATATGAGAGTGTTTACTCTTTGTTTAAAGCTAAAGCTATAGGAAAAGAAACTCACAAGAGGACAACAACACAACGAATTGATTCTTTCTTTCAAAAAGCAAAGAAACCTCGTTTAGAATCCACAATTGAAACCACTGACGAATGTACAAATACGAATGCACAAATTCAATGTGAGAATGCTTCTTCACTTTCAACTGGTACATCTATCACGTTACCATCCACAATCATAATTTCAACACAACAATTAAATGATAATGATAATTTGCGTTTTAATGATTTTCAAACGATGAAGAGTAAAGCTGAATATAATACGAATTCTAGCATCATCGGTGGGAAACATGATATATTGGACACGTGTAGCTCACAACCACAATCAATAGCAGATGAGCAATGTGAGTCTTATCATAAAGATATGACAAATAAAAATGATGAAATACAAGTTAGTATATCAGTTTATAGTTATATAATAGTAGAGTATCTAATATTTTGTGTGTATTTCTTCAGTTTATTGTCCCAAATGCTGAAGAAGGTGTTACTCAAAGAGTATTAGTTGGTGCTAAATTAAAAGTATTACTTGATATTGACTTAGTTACTTTGATAGGCAGGTCATGTGATGAGTATGTTAGTGATGAAGTCTTCTTAACAGAAACACGTGAACAATTAAGTGACATGAAAGAAAAAATAACAAAAATACTGGAAATATGTGATGAACAATTACAAATAATTGAAACGTCAGCAGATATCGGATATTTACGCAAAAGAATGGTTCCTCTTGATCCCGGTATTCAATCATCTCGAAAATATAACCGATCGGAGCTCCGTTATTTAGTTGAAAATGGTAAATTATATCCAGAGATAATATTCTAGATAATAATTCGTCTAGTTCTAGGACCATATCGTCCAGTTGTCAAAGTATATCCAAAAGATGAGTCTATGAGAAAGTCAACGAATCGATTTACTTCGAAATGGTACGATGAATACACATTTTTAGAATACAGTGATTCAACGAATGCCGCTTATTGTTTTGTCTGTCGTTTATTTGGGAGTGGTCCCGGTTGGGAACAAGGAGAAGACGCATGGACGAAGGGAGGTGTCTCGGCGTGGAAAAAGATGAAAGATATTTATCAGTATGCGTATTATTGCGAAAAACCTCGTTTTTATTGTTAACTTAGGAAAAAAAGGAAAATTAGACAAACATTTTAACAGTAAATCTCATCATGCGTCGATACAAAAATATTTAAATTTTAAATTGATTCACAACAACGTGGATATGATGCTGGACAAAAATCTTCAAGAAATGGAACAAAATCAAATTCAACAATCAATGACAAATCAAACAGCCATCACAATGTTAATAGATTGCGCTCGTTTTTTGATGCGACAAAATTTGGCTTTTAGAGGTGATAATGATGAAGATAGTAATTTTTTTCAAATCGTAAATTTTTTGGCAAAGTATAACCCTGTGATGGCTAAATGGTTACAAGGACGAAAAAATCGACCGTATAAAGTAAATGAAATTATTCTAGTTTTAACTGATGTTAACGCGATATAAGTAGTTAAGCGCTTTCTAAAAACTAGTTTACCAGTTCATCATAAAGTGTTTTCTACGGTTTAGATTCATTATATGAGTAACGACTCTCAAAACGAATTTATTAAATTATTGGGTGGAAAAGTACAGGTGGACAATTTGAACGAAATCCGTAAATCAATATTTTATTCTGTTATGGCAGATACTACACCTGATTTTAGTAGAAAAGAAATGTTCTCTATATGCATTCGTTATTGTTCAGAAAATTTGGAACCTAAAGAACGTCTAATATCGATTAAAGAAGTAGTAACAAAAACTGGTATGCTCAAAATCCTCTTTTATTGTTGAACGAGATATCCTCTATTCTAAAATTAGGAAGTGGGCTGTCAAAAGCAATAATCAATGAACTAAATGACCTTGAGTTAGACTGCGAACGATTAATATCTCAGTCATATGATTATGCTAACAATATGTCTGGACGATGGAATGGTGTTCAAGCGAAGTTAAGTGAACATCTCGGGCGAAATATTATTTACATTCCTTGTCAAGCACATCGTTCTAACACAGTCATCAAACATTCATGCTCAAGTCTGGAAGTAGCAAAATTATTTTCTGTATTACAATCCTTATATAATTATTTCACATCTAGTACAAAAAGGTTAGATTTAAAATTCAGAAAGCACTTATCCTATTCCCTATCGTTTTAGATTATCATTGCTAAACGAAAAATACAAATCAAACATTTTCGCATTGATACCAAAAACAACATCAACCCCTAGATGGTCAGCAACATTCAAGTCATTAAAAGCCGTCTATGAATCATATGTTGAAATTTTAGCAGCCTTAAGTGATATTGTGGATGACGATGGATCTTATTTTGATAAGGAATCACGATCTGAAGCGGATATATTATTAGATAATATTAAAAAATTTGAATTTTTGAGTAATTTAATATTTATGAAAAATGTAATGGCAAATACTAATAGCTTAACAACGATTTTACAAAAACAAGAACTGGATTTGATAACAGCGTCCGAAATAATGTCAGTAACAGTTTCCCTATTAAAAACAATGAGAAACGATGATGAAAGTTTACACAACGTTATTAAATTATCAGAAAAAATTTCTGTTAAAAATGGAATCGATCCTGATTTAGAATTTTCAGTAAAACATCGTCGACGTAAACCACCACGACGAATTGATGATAATCCCAATACAGCACATCAGTTTACAAGGTAAATGATTGTTGTTGAATCTTTTACTTTGTTCTGTATTCTCGTTTTAAATTTAGACAATCTTATTGTATTAAAAACTATCGTGAGGTATTAGACAATTTGATACTGGGATATTCGGAAGTGATCAAAAATATTGAAGGAAACGTTAAATCAATATCAAAACTTTTACCGAGTAGATTATCGTCCTTCGATATTAAAGATGCTCAAATTGTTTCTGATATGGTGCGTATTAAACATCATGAATTACTACTATCAGAAATTCATATTTTAACAAAATCTGAATCATTTACTGACAATGTCACAAAGGTGCGTGATCTTGCTACAATTATTAATCAATCAAAACAGCATTATCCAAATTTATTTATTGCTTACTCGTTTTTGTTATCTTTACCCGTCACAGTGGCGAGTAATGAACGTTCGTTTAGCCGATTAAAGCTGATCAAGAATCGTTTAAGATCTACGATGGGTGATGAAAGATTATTTCACTTAATACTATGTCCAATCGAAAGAGATACTCTTGACAGCCAGTGTGTCACAGAATTAGCCAAAATATGGGAAAAAAATAAACATCGTCGAATGCCTTTAGCATCATTTTTTTGAATAAATTTAATTGGGGATGCTTTCTGACCAAACAACCTGGAGAAGAGCAAAGGATTAACTCATGGAACATTGTCTCTTAAAAGGGAGATGAATATCCCATGTATATGTGCATGTATATATGCATACAACAGAAAATTGTGTTCTCTTACTTCTATGGTTTTCTCCCAAAAAATTTACACCCCTCCTGCTTTTTTCTCTGGCCACGGCACTGATCGAAAGCTAAACAGTCTTCAGATGGTGTTTTTACGACCGAAGAAATATAAATTAGCTTTATCGAATGACGAAGTAAAGATTGAAGTGTTGGACAATGCATTTATTTTTACAAAAGAGTTAAAAACGTAAATAGAAATCAGCAAAGAGCGTTGAAATCTATTGTATTATAAATAGAATATATGGAATATGGTTTATTTTTTACTGAATTACCTTCCGTTCTACGTCTTAAAATTGTATAAATCATGTAATTTAACTAAACTTGATTATGGAGGCCCCGTTTTTTATACTAAATTCACCAAAATTACTAAACCATTTGACTCTGTTAAAAACTTAACCTCCAGAATTATCACTGTAAAAATTTCACTATTCTCCATTGTTGTTAGATAATTAAATTTTCCAAAGTTAGTTAATCGCCGTCTTTACTTTCGTTTGGTGAATTTGTACAGTATTTATCATCTTTTGTATACACTAAACGGCTGTCCTGCTAACGGCCTCCATTTTTTGCTCTTCTTCGAAAAGTTATTACAATAAAACTACAAACTAATCTAAAACGGCAACTAGATAATTAAGTAGATTAAACATTTCTCTACAAAATGAAAAGTATTTATGCTCTGAACGTTGATTCGTTATGAAAGTACAGCTGTTGTACAAACAGCCGAGTTCGAAACTATTCTAATTGATCTGTATTAATCAAAGAAAAACAGTAACGCTGTGACAAAAACGGTCAAAAGTGTCACAGCGTTACTGTTTTTCTTTGATTAATACAGATCAATTAGAATAGTTCGAACTCGACAAGCTATCACATCTTGTAGAGCGAACAATTTTCTCCAAACTGGTATACTTGTTTAATTATTGCCAATTCGTCTTCACTCTTTTAGATACGCTTTTCAGATAGCCCAAAAATCGATTTTTGGGGTGCGAGGTTCTACTCACTCACTTCTCATATTTATTTGCATAAAGTGAACGCCTATAAATAGTACAAGAAAGAAGCAACCATTAGAAAATTTGGTGCTTGCTCCGCGCTGAAGCAAATTGGATAAAAACTGGGCGCCAAATGCAAAACTTGTCGGTGAATCCGACAGCGGGTTCCTTATAATTACACCTTCACTTCTTTTTTGGCGTCGATTTTCTTTTTTCTAATGGTTGTGCAAGAGTTGCGCAGGAGTTGCGCAGAAAATAGAAAAGAAAGGATGAAAGAAGTGTTGCGCAAGAACAGGATTACGTAAGGATAGTACAAGAACGCAATGAGTCACGAACGAAATGAACAGAAAGAATTTTCTCGTTCGTGTGTTGTGTAATCATATAAAACAAATCATGGACTGTAGGAAGATACACATCAGGTAAAAGAATCTAAAAAAGACAAGGAAAAAACCTAAGCCTACACTTGCACAAAAATGTGTGTCACGTTTTCAATCGGGTCTTGAAGAGGAAAATTAAACATTTCGTTTTAGTGAGGACAATAATTTTAGTAGAAAAGCTAAAGTAACACCAGCCACGCAGAACATAATTTCTAGAGTCATTTTGTAAGGTGAAGAATTTCAATATAGATAATAAGAGATGCACAACCTTTTTCATCATGAAAATTTTCATGATGAAAAAGGTTGTGTATCTCTTATTATCTATACATAATTTCTAATTAAAATAGCACAAAAATTCTTCCATATCACATATAATACCCACTCACTATTCTAACGAGGAAACCTCTCGAGGTAAACGCGTTTTGATCGAAATCTAGTGGGTTATAGGATTATAGTTATGAAATTGTAACGGGTACGGCCTCTCAGTATTTTCGAATTTTCTCGTGTTTCCTTAGAACCCAAAGATTAATGTCTTTTTTAAAAAGGTGCGCCGCGAAATGCCATACCTAAACTTTAATTAGAGCAGATTGAAATAGTGCTTGCATTTCTTTCCGATCTTTCGTTCGTTCCGATCGTTCATATATGGCGCATTATACGTAGAGAAAAAAGAAACAGAACGAAAAAATTTATATGAAGGAAAAGAGAACATAACGAAGAAAAACGATACATGTCACGTGATATAACCATGATCGTTTGACAGCAACAAATTTGTTATGCGTCATATATGAACGATTGGAACGAACGAAAGATGGGAAAAAAATGAAAGCCCTATTTCAATCTGCTCTATTTTAGAGCTTCAATCAAGCAAACTATGCAGATTATACGAAAGACGAAAAAAATGAAAACTTTAAAAATCTGTTATATTTTGCCATTTGAACCTTTTTCTTTTGTCATTATTTTCGTAAAAAAGGGTTGCGAAAGTGAGAAGTCAGTTCTTCTTATACTTCTGAATGGGCTCTTTCTCGTGGTCTGTAAAAAATCTTTTAGAACAAATGGTATGAAAAAAACTAAAAAAGTAGCGAAAAAATGCACCTTTTTGGTACTTGTCACTTGGATGTACCTTCGCTGTACTCAAATTATTTTCCAGCAAATAAATGCAAGATAAGACATAAATATATAGGATGATAGAGAATTTCAAACGATATCAGAATATATAATTACTTTTATAAAAAGCAATTTCTATAGTGATGATAAATTTACAAGACAAATTGAAGAAATAGTAATAAAATGCAGTCCGTGGGAATCTGACGATAAGGAGACCGCCATTGCACTCAATTTATTTTTCAGCAAATAAATGCAAGACAAGAGATAAATATACAGGGTGATAGAGAACTCCGAGCGCTTTAAGAATATATAATTATTTTTTTTTAGAATGTATTTTTATAGTGATAATATATTAAAAAAGTAGAGTGCAGCTATTTTTTTGCCAGGGGGACATAGCTGCTATTATTGGTGATTCTTCTAAGTCATTCGAGAGGGCAACAGATTTCAAGAATCATGCGGTGGGCACCTTCTGTATTAGTTTATTTATTTCTCGGTAAATTAGACTTGGATCTAAGTTTCGGCTTACGTTGCACGTGAATATGTCAAAAAGAATCGCGTAAGTTTACCACCCCGTTCGTTTTTGTTCTATTCTTTATATGACTTGCCAAACATTTTTCTTGTTCTTCCGCCGAAACATGATTCATTGCTAACACATGACTATTATTAATAGAGAGGAAAAAACCGTTGTTGTTCACGGCACATTTAAATCAATCGTATGCAGTAAAATTATCAGTCAATAGAAGAAACATTGGTGAAATATAACAATGTCAGTAATTATTCATTGTGCAAAAGTGAAAGATAGTAGTGATTTGTTCGATATTCGCCGGCTAATCGGTCATCATTACCCCGGTTTAGTTAGTGTGAATTGTATGTACACCGAGAATGGATTTTTACTGAAGACACTTGAAGCACATTTTAAAAATACGAATGTGCTCCAGGATATTGAGAAGCAGCAGCTCATCAAAATCGGAGATACTAAATACCGTGCAACAGTCACAAATAAAAATACAAAAGTCTTCCGCTGTTACAAATGTAAGACTCTGGGACACAAAGTGAAAGAATGTCCTGTATGGCGAAGTGGTTACCGTCCGACAAAGGCTCTAGCTATTCAAAATACACAACCAGCAAAATCAGCAAAAAAACTACGAAGGCAAGCAAAGAGACATGCTGTAAGTGTTTTCCTGTCACCATGATGACATGATCTTCTATATATTATGGTTTTAGATTGAATCATTGTCAACCTTAGAATCTCTACCTAACGAAATTTTACTTGAAATTTTGAGACTACTCCCTGCACGTGATACTATATTCGCATTTTACAACATGAATGCAAGAATACGTCACTTGATTGGGGCCTTTCAATCAATCAATTTTACTGCTTTACCCTATACATTCTTTCTCGAATATTGTGCGATGTTAATGAACCGCGAGCACGAACTTCAATCGTTAACATTATCCAATCTCGACTCGTGCGAACAAATTGAACTGTTTTTCTCCAATTTTCCAGTTGAACAACTTAAGAATCTTCGATCTCTCACTCTATTTAATCCGTCTTATCCGGTCTTGGATACTATTCTGTCAAAATTATCTGTATTAGGGTGTTTGTCAAGTTTAAAAATCGAGTTTAAGGTAAGTTATCGACAAATCCTCAGTTCAGAAAAGAATGATATCAAAGCAGCTACAAATCGAAAAAACACACACACCGTTCATGACTGTTCATTGTAAACATCAATTTTTGATGACACTAAGAGATGGACTGAACAGTACTAAAATAAACTGTGAATTTCTGAGAACACGAGCTGAGGCACCAAGGCTAAGCGCTCAAACGTCGCTTTTTCATTTTGTAAACCTATCTAGATTTTCTTCCTGAGACATACGGCCTCCATTCGTATTTCATCGTAATCGCCAAAGTGTGACCTTCAAAAGTATGAAGAACTTTTTCGAAATTTTGTTTCGTTGCTGTGATACTTCAGTCTTACAGAAAGCTAGACGGTTTTGACCACAATCGGTTACGTGTTTATAGCTATTAGGGTTTGAGACTAACACTACTATCTGTCTCTGTTCGAAGCAGTGCTTTAAAGCCGTCGAAATTCCCTAGAAACCTCGGCTCTCATTTTGTACATAATTAAATTTCCTATCGATCCAGGTGATTCTCAAATATTTTTTTGAAAAAAACGTTTTCTGGAAAATCCGTTTTTTCAAAAAGCTACTGAAAGATCACTGAAGATCTTGAAAGTGTGTCCGTTGGATTGTACTGTCTTTTTTACCTGTGCAACTCGATTTTCATCACTATAGAGTCAAAACCGAAGTCTTTTTCACAAAACATGTGACCAATTTTAATTAAATAAGCCCAAATTTTAAAACTGAAACCTCTCGCAACGAAATAAATTTCGAAAAAAGGCTGTTCATACTTTTGAAGCTCACTCTTTGGCGATTACGATGAAATACGAATGGAGGCTATATGTCTAAGGTCGTAATTCTGTCGAGTTATGTTCTCTCCATCGTTTAAGATGCATGTTTTTTGTTTCGGTGTAGGAGGATGCCGTTTCTAGCGCTCATTTTTTCTGTAATTTTGATACTTCGGTATCATTACGTTTGTTAAAGTTCAACGGTAGCGTATATATGTCTGGCTTCTGTGTTGCCTTGTATCCTAATTTGGTATTTTTAAAAATTACATCCACTATATCACTTCAATATTATGCAGATCTTCTTCAATCGATACCAAAAACTTTGGAGAAGCTTTCAGTTAAATTAGACGTAAGTGACGATCTTACAGACGATATTGCTAATTTATTCCTGCAAAATTCGAATAATGTTAAACATTTGAAGATCTCTATCGCTGATAATATCACGTTTAATCATTTTCAAATCATGAGTATACCTTTTCACCAATTGCTGACACTTTCATTCGAATATGATGCTGATTATGACGACACAGATGATTCTTATTTTGACGGTTCGGATTGGGAACAATTTATTAAATCCTATTTACCTTGTTTAAAGACGCTTGATATTGTTATGAACGTGTATGATTTTAGAAGAGATATTTATGACAGACTACAAACGTTCCAAACCAGCTTTTGGTTCGAAAGGAAATGGTGAGTTTGAAATTGAAAAACCTGTCCAATTCCTCAACTTTCAGACCTTGTTGTCTGTAAGCTCGATTTGTCTTGCTATCGGTACCTTGTACATAAGCAAAGTTTAATAGCATTACCTGACAAAGTCCACTAGGATTCATTTTCTACAACTAAGTTTGTTGACATTTCCTAGAGAGTTTTTGACGTTCTTAGTTTCCCAAAGGCTTTCTAATAAACATTTTCTCATATTTTCCAAAACTACATGTACATATTCTCACTAGTTATTACCATACATTTTAGGAAAAAGTCGTAATCGATGTCATCTACCTAGAAACAAAAATATTCAACTATTTAATGTTTAAAGGACCAAACATGTTTATGACGTGATCTTATGAGGGAACGTTCTTAAGTGCCCACTCGCTTTTTCGATGAAATCTAGTGAGTTGTAGGTTATCGATGATGCTGATTCTAAATATAAATATGAGAGCTGCTCTTAGGACTTCTAAGGCTCTGTTTTCTGTAAAACCAGTTTTTCAGAAACTCTGAAAAACAAACACTGCTTTTCTTATTAAGCCATACTTGTAACCCGCATATTTCTGATTAAAATGAGACCTCTCCCAACTCTACACGACCTTTCTTTGCAAAGTTATAGAATTTACAAGAAAAGCCATAAATGAATTTCTTCTTATTTCCGTAGCTTTGCGTTGACAATGAATATTTAGGCTTTTCTTTGTAAATTCTATAACTTTGCAAAGAAAGGTCGTGTAGAGTTGGGAGAGGTCTCATTTTAATCAGAAATATGTGGGTTACAAGTATGGCTTAATAAGAAAAGCAGTGTTTGTTTTTCAGAGTTTCTGAAAAACTGGT